CACCAGATTGGGTGACGGGCAAATGCAATGCTGAGTGTATCGATCTTGATGTACCCTGCCAAGGGCTGTGCTGTGCTGCACCGTGCTGAATTGCGATGTGCCATGCTGCGACTGTGCTCTATAGCGTCGTGGATCGAGTCCTCCTTTGCATCCGAGTCCTGACCGAACTGATCTGGATCTTAAGCTCGAGCTGCCTGAACACATAGTAGCCGCCCCAGAGCTAATTGACAAGGGGACATGCCAGGAGGACGCGCCACGGAACGTCCCAAGGGACGCGCCAATCGACGTGCCAGGGGACGTGCCATGGGGTCGCACCGCGGGACGTGCCAAGGGGACGCGCTACGGAACGTGCCAATGAATGTGCCACGGGATGTGCCAGGGGACGCGCCGCGCGACGTGCCAGGGGGACTCGCCAAGGGACGCCCCACGGAACGTGCCAAAGAACGTGCCAAATTGCAATGCTGAGTGTATCGATCTTGATGTACCGTGCCGAAGTCTGTGCTGTGCTGCACCGTGCTGAATTGCGATGTGCCATGCCGCGATTGTGCTATCCAGCGTTGCGGATCGAGTCCTCCTTTGCATCCGAGTCCTGACCGAATTGATCTGAATCTTAAGCTCGAGCTGCCTGAACACATAGTAGCTGCCCCAGAGCTAATTGGCAAGGGGACATGCCAGGAGGACGCGCCGCGGAACGTCTCAAGGCACGCGCCAAGCGACGTGCCAGGGGACGTGCCATGGGGACGCACCGCGGGACGTGCCAAGGGGACGCGCTACGGAACGTGCTGGGGACAAGCGTTTCGCTCGAGACATCCTGTCAAAATCCTCATGCTAGACATCCGCCTGAGCGATTTGGACACATGAAAGCAAGCGTTTCGCTCAACACATCCTCAACACATTCTCATGCTAGACATCTGCCTGGGCGAATTGGACACGTGAAAACAAGAGGTTCGCTCGAGACTTCCTCAACACATCTTCATGTCATACGTCCGCCTGGGTGACCTGGGCACGCGAAAACAAGCGCTTCGCTCGAGACGTTTTCAACACCTCCTCATTCTAGACATCCGCCTGGGCGACCTGTACACGTGAAAGCAAAGGTCTCGCTCGAGACATCCTCAACACATCTTCATGTTAGACATCCGCCTGTGCGACCTGGACACGTGAAGACATTCTCAACACATCCTCATGCTAGGCATCCGCCTGGGCGACCTGGACACGTGCAAACAAGCATCTCGATCGAGACTTCGTCAACACATCCTCATGCTAGACATCCGCCTGGGCGACGAGGACGCGTGAAACCAAGCGTCTCGCTCGAGACATCCTCAACAATTCCTGGCGCTAGACCTCTGCTTGGGCAACCTGGAAGCGTGAAACTAAGCGTCTCGCTCGAGACATCCTCAAGACCTGGGCACGTGAAAACAAGCATTTCACTTGAGAGATCCTCTGAATTCTGGTCTCCAGGAGAGGACAATCTATAACACAAAACAAGCGTTTCGTTCGAGACATCCTTAACAAATTCAGAAAACAAGCGTTTCGCTAGGGACATCCTCAATGTTTAATTCGCCGGCCCTACGCGACCTCGTTATTTATCGCAAAAGAAATTCGCCGGCCCTACAGCCGTCAAAACCGGGGGGAAACCAACTAAAAGAGAACCCTGGGCTCAGGCCCTTTCCGGGAAAATGCTTTAATGTTGTACGAACCTGTTTGTGCTCTGCGCGAACTGTTCTTCGAACATTTCTGGCTGAGACTGCCTGGTTTTCCCATATCGGGTTTAGGTTCTATGAACATTGCTTTTGCTATTGGGGCTTTGTTAGGTTCTAAGAACATGTCGTGGTAGGAGTATAGGAATTAATGCCAGGACGGCCGGTCCCTGCTCAATAATGTCACCACCCACCAAACCACCCCAACCCAACCCGAAGGCCCCAATGTGCGTTCCATTTCCAATGGGGGGGAGGCGTCGGGGAATCGTGAGAAACATATGTAGAACCTGTATCCCACCCAACCCGAAATTCGGATCTTCGGGTTAGGTTGGGGTGGTCTGGTGGGTAGTCATAATGGGGGAGGGGGGGCGATAAATTTTCGGGGGTATCGTGGACCTTTCTTGCCCTTTTTGAGCCTCAGGGTGCCCCTTCGAGGCCACTATCGGGCGCACATGAGGTGCACCTGCCTTCGCCCCTCAGTGTATCCCCCCCCCCCCAGTCACGCAACGCCCGAGGCGGCGCGGCTCCCGAAGTCCAGGGGCGAGCTGGCCGCGGAGTTCGCGGCAGAGGCCCAGGCGCTGCCCCGCCCGAAGCGGAGGCTGGAGAAGGACGACCTGGAGTTCACCTTCTCGCGCAGCGGCGGGCCCGGCGGGCAGAACGTCAACAAGGTTGCCACGAAGGTCGACGCCCGCCTCGACTTGCGCGGGGCCAGCTTCCTGCCGGACTGGGTCAAGGATAAGATGTTCGAGAAGCACGGCGGGCGCATCAACGGCCTCGGGGTCCTGAGTGTGCAGGCCGAGGAGCAGCGGACGCAGGCGGCCAACATCAGGATTGCCATGTCGAAGATGCAGGAGCTCATAGACGATGCCGCGTACATCCCGCCGCCGGTCGATCCGAGAAAGAAGAAGGATATGGCCCGTTGGAAGAATCGGGCGAACGAGAAACGGCTCAAGGATAAGAAGTTCCAGCAGCAGAAGAAGCGGGCCCGGAGTGCAAATAGCGGATGGTGATTGTCATCGCTTTTGCCACTGCCCAGCAGTGCCAGCACTTGAGGTGCGCGCCGAGATGAGGCACCCCCATGCGGAAAGGTCTATCCGACCCGAGGTCATCTGTCATCGATCCTCTTCTCATTCTTCTCTCCCGCCCCTCTGGACGTCCCCTTTTGCTTTGAATACTCCCCTGCCCCCGCTCCTCCCTCCGCCCTCCCTCTTCGTTCCTCGGTCGGAATTTCGAGATGATGACGATGATGGTGAAGATGATGATGATGATGATGATGATGATGATGATGATGATGATGATGATGATGATGATGATGATGATGATGACGATGACGATGACGATGATGATGATGATGATGATGATGATGATGATGATGATGATGGTGATGGTGATGGTCATGGTCATGGTCATGGTGATAATGATGATCATAATGATCCTGGTGATCATGATGATCACGACGACGGTGATGAATGTGATGATGATACTGATGACGATGATAATGCGGCTGGTGGCGGTGTTCCTGATGATGATAAGGATACTACTGATAAGGATGCTGATGCTGATGCTGATGCTGATGCTGATGGTGATGGTGATGGTGATGTTGATGATAGGGAAGAGGAGGAGGGCGATTATGATTGTGATGGCAGTGAGGATGATGATGGTGGTGGTAGTGGTGATGATGATGACGAGGATGCAAATGATGATGGTGATGATGGTGATGACGATGATGATGGTTATGATGATGCTGATGCAGATAATGCTGATAATGCTGATGATGATGATGCTGATGATGATGGTGAGGATGAGGATGAGGGTGAGGAGGAAGAGGAGGAGGAGGAGGAGGAGGAGGAGGAGGAGGAGGAGGACATGTCTCCTTCGCCGAGCGCCTCGCCGTCGGGGGGGGCGGGGGGGGGAGGAGGGGCTGCCTAGTCCGACACCATGCAGGCCGCGCCATTCGAGAGCCGCTGGAGGATGGAGACCAGGAGGGGATTGCTGGCAACAGCAGCGAGCCATGATCAGTTTTTGCTCGTCAGTCGCCTTTTTTTCAGCTTGGTTGTGCAGCAGCTGTTGTTCCCCAGGAGTGCTTGCACTCAGGGGTTCTTGCACACCGGCTACCAAAAGAATCGGAAAGGTCTGTCATCTGTCGAGGTTTCGCCTGGTGCCCCGTTGGTGCTTGGTCGTGGGCGCCTCGTGGGCGCCCCGTGCGCTGGCTTAGTCTGTCGAGGTTTCGCCCAGTGCCCACTTGGGTCTGGGTCGTGGGCGCCGCGTGGGTGCCCCGAGCGCTGGGTTGGTCCGTCGAGGTTTCGCCTGGTGCCGGGCGAGGGCTCGGTCGTGACGTGCGCCTCGTGGGCGCCACGTGCGCCGGGTTGGTCCCTCGAGGCTTCGCCTGGTGCCCAGCTGTTGCCCGCCCGTGGGCGCATCGTGGGCGCCCCGTGCACCACATAGCTTTCCCCACGCAGTTTGCGCCGTATAGCAGGGCTCCCGCGGGAGCCTACAAACCGTGCGCCCTCTCGCATTGAGGTGGGGTGTGTGTGTGTGGTCAATGTGGCACAAAAGAGCTTGCACATACCCCTTACACGACATAGCTTGCACCAGATAGCTCGAGCATCCACAGTGTCATTCGTTACTATGTGGGGTCCACGCTGCCAACCAATGTTCTGCCCTTCTACAATTTATGTCGTGCTCTTTTGGGAACCTCAGCAGAGGTTGCAATCAGGCTCCGGCCTCCAATGCTGCGAAAGCCACGTGGGAATTCACTTAGCCTGGCAGTCACTTGGGTCTATCACATGTCCTCGCACAACGCTTTTCCTTACCAAACTGGCAGCCGCTGCAGACGTCGAATCCTTCCTCGTCCTCGTCCTCGTCCTCGTTCCGCTCCTCCCCCTCCTCCCTTCCTTGCCCTTCTCCTTCTCACAGGCTGTGGACAGGGTCCGCGAAACCCTATGTCTGTTTGGGGCGGGCTCGTCCTGAAGCCATCGGTTGCAAGGGCCGATCCTAGTGCTCTGCTGGACTGCAAACTCAGACACGCACCATAGGAGTCGTTGGTGCGTTCCTCCTCCTCCTCCTCCTCCTCCTCGTCCTTCATCGCGTTCTCGTCCTCGTCCGAGCTGCCGAGCAACAGGTCCTCGTCCTCGTCCCCGTCCCCCTGCCCCTCGTCCCCTCCCCTCCTCGTCCTGCCCTCGCCCCCCCGCCCCCGCGAGGCCGCAGGGGACGACGGGGACGAGGGACGAGGCAGGAGGGACGAGGGCCGACGCCGACGCCGACGCCGACGCCGACGACAACGCAGGCGCCTCCGCACTCCAGGAGGCTGCGCGCCGCGCACGGGCCGCCGGCGTCACGCCGGACGGGCCCCTCCTCGCCGCGCTGGGCGCGGCGGTGGGCGCGGGGCGGCGGGCGCAGCTGTGCCAGGACGGGCCCGCCCTCTCCTGCCCGGTCAGCCGCCTCCTCCTCCTCCTCCTCCTCCTCCTCCTCCTCCTCCTCCTCCTCCTCCTCCTCCTCCTCCTCCTCCTCCCTCCTCCTCCTCCTCCTCCTCCTCCTCCTCCTCCTCCTCCTCCTCCTCCTCCGCCTCCTCTTCCTCCTTCTCCCCTCCTGCCCTGTTAGAGGCCTCCTAGATGGGTCCCGAGTAGATGGGGTCGGAGGATCTCGCCGCATCGCCGATGCATCGGCCATGCACTGGCGACATCGGTGTTACATCCGCGACGTCGGCATAGAGAAATTTGGGCCCCACATCGAGCCGCATCGCCGATGCATCGGCGAGGCCTAGAGGAGGCCTAGACCTGTCCTTTCCTGCCCTCCTCCTCCTTTTCCTCGTGCGCCGCCCTCCAGTTCTTTTGAGCAGTACGCGGGCGCCGCATCGCGGTGCACAGATGTGGGGGGCTTGCCTCTCTGAGAACGGAGGTCTCGCTTGACACCTCGCCGAACTGTGGGATCATACCGTTTCACAGTCGTTCTGAACCCTTAGGCGGATGCGAGGCAGTTGCCCCCGGAGCAGGCAGGGCCTTTCCCTCGGAGCAGCAGGCCCGTGCGGTGCTGGTCAAGGGGGGCGCCTCCTGTGGTGAAAAAGGGCTGGTCGTAGAGATTTGTAGGGGTGGGATTTGGGACGGCATCGTTGGTGTATTTTGGGTTTACTCTAGTCCTTCTCCTCCTCCTCCTCCTCCTCCTCCTCCTCCTCCTCCTTCTCCTTCCCCCTCCTCCTCCTCCTCCTCCTCCTCCTCCTCCTCCTCCTCCTCCTCCTCCTCCTCCTCCTCCTCCTCCTCCTCCCCCTCTATCCCATCCAGGCCCTTCAACGCCAACGGCAGCATCTCGAAACGATACTCCTCTTCCTTCTCACCTTCGTCGTCTTCGCCGCCGCTCGATGATCGAGGCTCGAGGTTCAACGATCGAGGTCTCGGGGCCCTCTGGGCCTCCGGGGAGCGCCCGTCGTGGCCACGGCTGCATCCGCCTCGAGATTCTGGCCGGATCGCTCCCCAGGAGAAGTCGGGAGGTCGCCGTCGCCGTGGCGGTGGCCGTCGCCCTTCGGTTGATTGTTTGAGGGGGCCGCCGAACTCTTGGGGCCCTGGGGCGCTTTCCGGTCGCGTGCCCTTCCGTGGGCGCCCGAGCCGTCCCCAGTCGCTGACTCTGTGGCCCGGCGTGCGGCAGAAGGGCCAGAGACTTTGGCGACCCGTGCAAAGAGCAGGGCGGCCGGTTTTTGCTGCAGTCTTTCCTTGAGGGAGATTGGGCAACCGCATGTTCCTCAGGGGATCACGATCGGTGGCGGCAATGATGATGCTACCTGGTGGTGGCGACAACGATTCCGATGGCGATGGTGATGTGCATGCTACTGTTGGCGGGGATGGTGTTGATGGGAAAGAATGGCGATGATGACGATAATGACGGTGGTGATAACGATAACGACGGTGGTTATGATGGTGACGACGATAATGATGATGATGATGATGATGATGTTGATGTTGATGTTGATGGTGATGATGATGATGATGATGATGATGATGATGATTATGATTATGCTGATGGTGATGGTGATGATGACGATGACGATGACGGTGACGATGGCGATGATGATGCTGATGCTGATGATGATGATGATGGTGATGATGAAAGGATGATGATGCTGATGATGACGATGCATAATATTTTGATGCTGGTGAAGATGCTGATGATGGTAATTATGATTATGACGATGATGATGATGACGAGTATGTTGATGATGCTGATGATGATGCTAATGATGCTGCTGATGATGATGATGATGATGATGATGATGGTGATGATGATGATGATGATGATGATGATGATGATGATGATGATTATGATGATGAGGGCGTCTGCGATGATACAGTTAACAGCGTAGCGCATCTTGGCATCTTGCCATCGGCCCCCCCCCGTCCCACCAAGAACCCCAATACCACCCACCAGGGTTCAGGTGCCCGAGCGACACGAACGCAGCCCACCGATTGAAGACGTGCCCTCACGCAACGCCTCACCGTGGCCAGGCAACAGCCTGCCCAAGAACGTAGAACTGATTGAGGACAAGCATCACTGTGCTACAACAACGCGCCTCCAGGCGCGCACACATGTTGCGTGGCATCCATGGATAGTCAAAACCTTTTTTGGGTCAGAGTAAGGGGGCCGAACGGTCATTCATTGTTCCTGGGTGCGTGGCCGGAGTTGGGATCCGCGGTGAGGATTCTGCCTGTTGCGTTGTTGTTGCTGTTGTTGTTGTGTTTGTTCGTTTGTTTGTTTGGTGTCGTCGTCCCACCCGCGACCCACTTGCGACCCAGCCCACGACCCACCCCGCGACCCACCCCGCGAGCCACCCCGCGAGCCACCCCGCGACCCACCCCGCAACCCACCCCGCGACCCACCCCGCGACCCACCCGCGACCCAACCCGCGAGCCACCCCGCGACCCCACCCGCGACCCACCCGCGACCCACCCGCGACCCACCCGCGACCCAACCCGCGACCCATCCGCGTCCCACCCGCGACCCACCCGTGACCCACCCGCGACCCACCCGCGACCCACCCGCGACCCACCCCACGACCCACCCGTGACCCACCCGCGACCCACCCGCCACCCATTTGCGACCCACCCGCGACCTACCCATGTTCGTTTAACGAAAAAGTCGGCGCCTGGGGCGGGCTCGATGTATAATTTGTATTTTTTTGGCGCCTGCGGCGGGCTTCTCCAGAGTCTCGCAAACTGCCGACGTCCCCACCGCCCCCTCACTCCTATCCGCACCTGCGGGGTGCTATGTATTTTCCAGAGTGCGCAGTCCGCCTGGAACGACCTCCAACAGGCTCTCCTCGTCTCCCCCAGGGTCACTATCCAGGAACACCTCCTGGCGTGACTTGCTGCTCACCGCTAGCGCACCAGCGCTAGCCTGTCCCTTTTGTTTGTGCGCTGCGAGAACACCTGGCAACTTGTTCCGGTGATCTGGCACTGGGCCGCCGAGGGGGATGCCCCAACGCTGCGCCTTGTCCCCCAGGGCATCGGGGTGCGCATGCCAAAGCGCGCTAAAAGTCAGTGCCTCGCTGCAGCACGGGCGCGCCGAGGAGGCGTGCCATGCCCTCACCGCCACGCCTTTCCAGTTTTCCCAGTCGGGGTTCTGACCGGGCCAGGGGGGGATTTCCCCACCCCGATTCGTCAGGCGACCCTTCCCGCCAGAGTGAAGGTTGCCCAGGCGGCTCTAGTACCCACCGGGCCCAGACCCGTGCCCGAAGTGGTGCAATCGCTATCTCTCGCACTCTCTTTCTCTCTCTCTCTCTCTCTGTTTGTTTGTTGTTTCTATCTCTCTCTCTTTCTCTCCCTCTCGCCCCTCTCTCGCACTCATTTTTTGGTTGGTCTTTCTATATATGTCCCTCTCCTCTTCATGTGGTTTCTCTCTCTCCCTCTCTCGCTCTCTCTTCTCTGTTTATGTTGTCTCTCTGTTTTGTTGTCTATGTTTTTTTTGTTTGTTTTTCTCTTTCTCTCTCTCTCTCTCTCTCTCTCTCTCTCTCCCTTATCTATTTCGTTACCCTTCTCTCTCTCGCTCTCTTTCTCTCCCCCCCAGCCGCCCGCTTAGAGGAACTCGGCTGGGCAGTGCATGCCCCGCCCGGCCGTCCGTCGCGCCCCCGGCCCAGGTGGGGCGAAAGTCGTTCCGCCCCGCGAGCGTCGCGTTGACCCTCCTCCCTCAGACCTGTACATATTATGTTGGAATTGCGGGGCTCACTGTTCCCAGAGGCCTCTGTTGAAAGCTCGCTGCAGGAATCGGTTGGAGATGGGCACTAAGGTCGCCCTCGATCGCATCCTCGCGGGATAGCGCCCGAAGACTGGGAAATTCGTTTACTTTTGGAGCTTGACAGGCGGACCTGAAGGGTTTCGCTGGAGCTTACTATTTCCTCAGAGCGCTGGCGGGCAACCAGCTGGCGCGTCTATGCCTGGAACCCTGGAATCACCCCTTCCCTCCAATCTTCCCCCCTCCTCCGCCTTGGAAGCCGCCAGAGACGCACCATTTATGGAAACGGAAGCCGCAAGCCCCACACCCTCGTCTGTTTCCTCCCTCGTCCTTCTTCCCTCCATTGCCTCCCGCCTGTCCCTCCTCCAGCCTCCGTCATTCCTCCTACCCTCTTCTACCCGCGCAAATATCCCCCCTCCCCCTTCCTTCCCGGCGACCATGGGAGAAGGAAGTAAGATGAGCAGGGGCAAGTGAGGGGAGGAGGAACAGGTGGAGGAAAACGGGAAAGCAGGGCGAGGAGGGATGGGGGTGAAGTGGCAGGGAGGAGCAGGGAAGGAGGAGGCAGGAGGACGAGGCGGAGGAGGAGGACGCTGAGGAGGCGGAGGAGGAGGAGGCGGAGGCGGAGGCGGAGGAGGAGGAGGAGGAGGAGGAGGAGGAGGAGGAGGAGCAGGAGGAGCAGGAGGAGCAGGAGGAGCAGGAGGAGCAGGAGGATGATGAGGAACGTCTCGATCAGGGCTCTCTGCTTCAAGCCGAGGGCGCGCGCCAGCCCCACCGCCCCGCGATCCGTCCAGGCGGGCCACCCGGCAGCCGAGCAGGTTAGGCAGGTCGCCAGCCATGGCGGGGGATGCCGCCACCGAGAGGAAGAGAATGCTGCTCAACCTCGTCAGCGAGGTGAAGGCGGGGCGGCGGGATCGCTCACTGGCCGCAGGGGGCCCTCCTGGTCCCGCATCCTTCTCGCTCTCTCCTCCTTGTTCCCTCCTCCTCCCCCCCTATCCCCTTCATCTTCCTCCCCCGCCTCCTCCTCTTCCTTCTCGTTCCCCCCTGCCCGGCGGGCGCGTTCACTGCCAGCCACAGGATGCACATGAGCCCCGTGGAGCTGGCCCGCGTGTTTGGCTGCCGCCCTCGTGAGTGCCCGAGGGCTGTGGCATCGCGCGTGCCTGCCGCGAGGACGGACCAGCCAGCCGATATGTTTCTCCTTTCTGGGCCTCGGCGGGGGACGGGAAGACAGCGACCACCTCGGCAACGTCGTCGCGCGGCCTCCCTACCGCACCCTAGGCCCACACAGCACGCAGCACAGGCAAGTGCGGCCCGACGCTGCGGCTGCCATGCCAGGCGCCCCGCGCCGAGCCCCAGAGCAACGACGCCGAGTCGGCATCTGAAGTGGCCCCGTGGGCGACGCCAAGGCGGCACTCGAATGGAAGTGGAAGGCACCAGAGCAGCCACGACTTCTGTACTGAGAGCTTGTGAGGCACGTGCAGTCTGTGGACTGATCGCAACCCGAACAGGGGCGCTTGCCCCGAACAGCGACGGGGACCTGGCGGCCGAGCCAGACCGAGTCGAGGCCGCCGGGTGCCACATTAATCTGGCGAGGGGAAACACACACATACACATACACATACACATACACACATACACACACAGGCACACAACCACACAGGCACAGTTGATCGTCGATTCCCCGGAAAAGATGGGAACATATGGGAATTGTGTGTGTGTGGGGGGAGATGAATACTTAGAAACTATGGAAAAGTATAGGGGAACCTTGGAATTTGTGTCTGTGCGTCCCAGGGCCCCCTTCAGTCAGCCTCGACGCCGTGGCCTCTGCGCGCAGCACGCCCCCGAGGCCTGCGCCGCGCCTCGTAGGCTGCCCCCCAGGTGGCGTTCGGTCGTTCCCTCCTCTGCGGATGCTCCTCCTCGTTCCTCCCTCCCCCCGTCCTCGTCGCTCCCGCCTCCTGTGGATGCTCCGTGGATGCTCCTCCTCGCTCCTTCTCCTCCTCGTTCCTGCCTCCCCCCTTCTTCTCGCTCCCTCCCCTTGTGGATGCTCTGTGGGTGCTCCTGCTCGCTCCTTCCTCCCTCCCTCCTGTGTGGACGCTCCTCCTCGGTCCTTCCTCCCCCCTCCTGCTCTCATCCCCACGGTGTGGGAAGTGGATGTTCGAGGCCCGTCGTCTGACGGAGAAGATTTGGAGCCCTTCCCTCCTCTTTCCCAAGCCCCTCTCGAGGTTTGGGTTTCTACTTCGTCCTGGGGTCTGGCCCAACTCAGCTCAGCTCACTTCAGGCCAGCCCAGCCCAGCCCAATCCGGCCTGAGTCCAGATCCACCGGTGACCCGTAGCGCATTACCCGCGTGTTCTCCCGCGAACAGATTCGCAGGCGTGCCGCTTTTCGTCGTCGTCGTCGTCGTCGTCTTCGTCGTCTTTTTTTCCGCTCCTCCATCTGCGTCTCCTTCTGCTTCCTCCTCCCGCTCCCCCTTCTCAGTCTGCGGCCGCTCCCCTTGCTCCGTCTCCTGCCGCGCCCCTGGGCGATGGCCACCCCCAACACTCTGGGGAGGCGCGGCTCGACGGGAAGGTGGACAGCCTGATGTTCCCCATCCCCCAGTTCATCCTGGGGCGGGGGAGCGGGAGGAGAGGGACGAGGAAAATTCAGGAGGGGTGAGGGGGTTGACAGAGGACTGGAGGATGGCGATGAGGAGCGGAGGACGGAGGGTGGCGATGGTGACGATGATGACGGTGCTGGTGACGGTGATGATGGTGGTAATGACGATGACGATGACGATCAATATGACGATGGTAACGATGATAGCCACGATGATGATGCTGATGATGATGATGATGAGGATGATGATGATGCTGCTGCTGATGATGATGATGCTGATGGAGTTGGTGATGATGTTGACTATGGTGATGGTGATGATGGTGATGGTGATGGTGATGACGTTGATGCTGATGACGATGCTGATGATTATGATGATGATGGTGGTGATGATGATGGGTGTGATGATAGATGGTGATGATGATGGTGGTGATGCTGTTGTCGTTGGTAATGATGGTGGTGCTGATGTTGATGATGATGATGATGCTGGTGCTGTTGATGCTGATGTTGATGCTGATGATGCTGATGTTGATGCTGATTATGATAATGGTGGTGGTGGTTGTGATGATGCCGATGATAATGCTGATGCTGACGCTGATGATGATGACGGTTGTGGTGATGATGATGACGATGATGAAGGACGATGTTGAGGAGGACGAAGAGGAGGGTGAGGAGGAAGAGGAGGATGAGGACGATGAGGACGAGGAAGAGGAGGAGGAGGAGGAGGAGGAGGAGTCACATGCACAGCTTCAGCCCCTGTATCGAAAACCTGGCAACTGCAGCTTGCAGGTTGCATAACCATTTGCAGTGGGCAGTTTGCGAGTCGTTAAGGCCCAGCACCACCTAGCTAGTGACAGGATTCATGTTACAAGTAGCGCACACCAAAGAGGAACTATTACGGATTAGCTAGCAGCTTACACGTATTGCGTTGCGCAGGCATCAGCAACCAGTACGCGGGAGGTACCGAGTAGTTTTTGGTAAGGGGTACGTTTCACGTCGTACTTATTTCATGACAGGAAGAGAATCGGCGACCAATCCGTAGCACGTAGCATGTTGCAACTACTAGGTAGTATGTGTTCGCTCCTACGTTGCAAGCCCGATCTACTCTCGCATACTGATGATAACGATGCGGCTGGTGCGGACAGGGGAGAATCAAGAGGAGGGACGAGGCGGAACAGGAGGAGATGGACGAGGAGGAACATGTGGATATGAGGGAGGGAAGGGGGCAGAGAGAGAGAGGAAGAGAGAGAGAGAGAGAGAGGAAGAGGGAGCCAGGGAGCGCTCTAAATTATGTAAACCCATATGAAACAGTATTTACACAGAGAGAGAGAGAGAGAGAGGACGACGAACCATACCTACACATATATTTAGAGGGAGAGAGACGGATCGAGGTTTGATCTGCTTATATGTGTGTCATGCGTAAATATAGACATTGCCAGGGAGAGGTGAATGTCGCACGCGCACGTGCACAGTGTCATGAATCCATATGTGCATCGGCCTGTGTGTATGCATGTATATATACTTACATATGCACGTATATGTTTGTACATGCATATACAACCATATGCATATACATAATATGTATGCGTGCTTGTATAGATGCACGCTATATTTGCGCATGTCTATACCTAGGTTAGGGGGATGCAGAGCCATAGGCATGCACAATTGGGTAGTTACATATATTGAGAGAGAGGGAGAGGGAGAGATAATGAAAACAAGGGAGGGAAAGAGAGAGAGAGAGAGAGAGCGGGAGAGGGATCCACACATACAACATACATATATCTGAATATATGTATTCATATACAGTTTTTTCATGTTCACAAGACTGCGATGGCGGTTCGCGCCATGCACCTTGGTCCTTAATGTGTAAACTTAGCGATGGAACCGTGTAGTGGCCTCCAGCCAGTGCCGCCGATCCGGGGGCGCTCCCGATGCAATCTTGGGCTCTCTGTCACCCGCGGATTCACTCTGCTGTGTTTCCCACTGCCCGACCCCCCCCCCCGGAAAACGGAGCACAGCGCGTCCCCCCCCCCACCCCACCCCCACCCCCCTACCCCGGCAGAGCCACCCCGGCACCCACCCCCCAGCAGAGCAGAAGCTCAGGAACTGAAGCTGAGGCTACATCTAAGGCTCTGTCAAACTCACACGCCGGATCGGCGGATTTTCCGACATCGTCGATATATTGATATGATACATGATCCTTCTCTCATGCTTCCTCTGCGAATTTGACCCCATGCTCCTTGGCTCTTTTTGCGGAGGCTCCTCCTTGGAGAGCCTCTTGGGAGCCTCGCGAAAGTGTTTAGGGCTGTTCGGGGCCTTCTGGAGGCCTCCTGGGTTCATTTTTGGGGCCTCTGGAGGCTTCCTCGGGCCACCCTGCTTCCAACCGCGGTCTCCCTGGACGACCTGGTCACGATTTGGAATACTTCGGGGGGCGTCTTGGAGACATCTTGGGCCGTCATTGGGCTGTAGTTCGGGGGCGATGTTCTGGCCTCCTGGGCGGTCTCGGACGCCCAGGGGCAATCTCAAAATCATTCAATGTTTTCTTGCGTTTAGATTGCCTCTTAGGGGGTCGTCTTTGGTCGTTTTGGGGCGTCTGGTGGGTGTCTGGGGCCTCTTGGGGCTCTCTCGGGGCCGCGGGGCCGTCCGACCGCCCTTCTGACCGATTTGGGTCCAGTGCCTAGGCCCAACAGGGGCTTCCAGGAGCTCCGGTAAGCCCAGGAAACCTTCTGCGGGGGCGTCCAGGGGGGCCTCAGGGCCACTGATCCTGGGGGTTCCGTTTCGGGATGGAGGGAGGGGATTTCCCCCCACCCCAGATTGGAATGTATGTAAGTGTGTATACATACACATGTATACACATATTTCGAGCGATGTAGAGAGAGGAGATGGAGAGAGAGAGAGAGAGCAAATGATGTATCTATATATATACGTATATATGTATGTGAAGGGAGAGAGAAAGAGAAATAAAAAGAGAGGGAAGAGGGACATAGAGAGCGAGAGAGAGAGAGAGACCCTTTAATGACGGTCGCGCTCCTCGTGGGCCGCCCCGATCCCCCGCCCTGGCCATCGTGGTCGGGAAGCAGAGCGTCGGCAAGTCGCGCCTGATCGAGGCGCTCGCGGGAGAGCCGTTCAACTTTGTGTCGGGCACGCTGGGATCCAGGCGGGCCTGAGCAGGACGATGGAGGAGGGGAAGGAGGAGGAGGAGGAAGAGAAGGAGGAGGAGGTCTCCTATCCTCTCGTCCCCTCTCTATTGAGCTTGCTTCCTGTGCCTCCCATCCACTGGCACTTTCTTTCATCTAGCTTATGGCTAATGGCCCTGGCATATTTTGGCAGCGCGCTAGCGAGCTAGCGAGCGACGAGGACAATGAGGACGAGGAAGAGGAGGGAGGAAACCCGAGGGAGGGAGGAGGCTTGAGGCTCGAGGAACGAGGTGTATTGATGCTGTAGGCCCTCTTCGAGCCTACAGGTCCACGGGTCTTCGGAGACCTGAGTAGGAGGAGGAAGAGAAGGAGGGAGGAGGGAGCAGGAGGAGGAGGAGAAGGATAGGTATGACGATGACGGGGATGATGGTGATGATGGTGATGTTGATGATGGTGATGTTGATATTGATAATGATGATGATGATGATGATGATGATGATGATGATGATGATGATGATGATGATGATGATGATGCCGATGAGGAGGAGGAGGATGGTGATGATGATGGTGATGATGATGCTGATGCTGATGCTGATGCTGATGCTGATGCTGATGCTGATGCTGATGGTGATGGTGATGGTGATGGTGATGATGATGATGCTGATGCTGATGCTGATGCTGATGATGATGATGCTGATGATGATGATGCTGATGATGGTGATGATGCTGATGATGATGCTGCTGCTGATGCTGATGCGGATGCTGATGCTGATGCTGATGCTACTGATGATGAGGAGGATGAGGACGACGAAGAGGAGGAGGAGGAGGAGGAGGAGGAGGAGGAGGAGTCCGATGACTCTCTCTTTCCACCTCTATCCCCTCTTTCCGTGGACAAGGTGTAGGGGGAGGAGGGGGATGGGGGAGGAGAGGAAGGACGAGGAGGACGAGGAGGACGAGGTGTGCGACGAGGAAGGCCCGCGTCCCCTTCACTGCTCCTTCCTCGCCCGTGCCGTGCCGCGCAGTCGATGCTCCCCCGTGTCCCCCTTTCCCGCTCCCCCCCCTCCTTGGCCGCTCCTCTCGACTCCCCCCCTCCCACAGGCCAGCCCCTTGCCAGCGTCCCTTGGCGTCCCTCGTCCCCGGCGTCCCTCCCTCGCTCCCTCCCTCCCCCCGTCGCGTCCCCCCGCCCCCGTCCTTCGAGCAGGGGGTCGACTACAGAATTGAGCTACCCCAGAATGGATTTGCTCGCTGGATCCATGAGAAATGCGTAGAACATTCGTAGATCTACGAACATTTAACGTGTGACTCGATGATAAAACCAGTGTTTGGGCTTAATCGATTATGTGGCCGATCCCCTGCTCGAGTCCTTCCCTGTCCTTCTTCGTCCTTGCATCACTTGCCGCTGCTCCTCCAGTCCCCCTCCTCCGCGGCTCCCTCCACTCCGCCCCTCGCCCCTCGCCCCCCTGCTGTCCCTCGCCTGCCTTCCTCCTCGTCCCTTGCCTCCCTCCCCCTCCGGCTCTGCCTCGGTCGACCGTGAACCTGATTCGGTCGGGCAGGTCCGAGGCCTTTGGGGGACGCGTGCGAAGGTAAGCCCACCAGTTGTCGCTTCGCAGATTGACCAATCCGTTCCCACTCCCTCCCTCCAGGGATCGCCCCCTCCCCTCCTTAAAAAGGACCAGTTATCGCTTCGCAGGCTGACCTATCCATTCCCACTCCCTCCCTCCATGGATCGTCCCTCCCCCTTCGTGAGCAGACGTTTGCGTCACCAAATTCGTTTTCGTTGCCCCGAGGGGGTCGGACCCCCTTCTGGCAGGAGCTAGACGGGAGATTCATCACGATGTCACGAATGCCCCAATTGGCTTTCCGTGGGGCGTTGTATGGCCTGAGACCCAAGGCGACACGATGGTAAAGGACACGTTTCGTCACCCGCAAACTCCGCTAAAGCAAGTTCGTGCCGCGACGACCCAGGCGTTGGCTCCTGACCGTACTCCCTTCCTCATCAACCCTCCCTCCTTTCCTCCCTTCGTTCCCGCTTTGCCGCCCCTCCAGGCGGCCAACCGTGTTGGAATTCCGCAACGTCCAGGGCCTGTCACCCTCGAGGTGGTCCGTCATGGACAACAAGACCCTGACGTGGCAGACCCAGAGCATGGAGACCCCAGGGCATTCGAATGTTCTTGTCGCGAGAGGTGAAGACGGAGGAGCAGGATGAGTAGTAGAAGGCCTAGACACCCGACGTTGCGAGCGAAGTCACGGCCAGACTGTGTCCGTGCGGGAGTCACTGATCCAGATCGATATGGGAGGATCTCTGGTTCGGATGCGCGGCGAAAGCCGCCCTGCGTGTTTGCACCAGGGGGGGTCCTACATAATAGCGGATGCTGTGAGGATTTCGTGAAAGTGTGCCGCCGATGTTGGTGGTCGGCTTGGTTACAAGGTTCCCTGTTCGCGGTGTCGGGCTCCAGCGCGCGCATTGTGTGCAGGGAGTGAATCAAGTGGGCGGGAGGCCCAGAAGAGCCAGGCGCATCTAATGATTTTGCTTCGATCGATTCCCACCCGAGGACGCGAGATGGGACCCCAGGGGAGCAGCGGCCCACTTGGGGCCTGGCGGCGGCAGCATGCAGTCGTCATTCGTCGAAGATGCGAGGCGGGGTCCCCAGGGAGCACAGGCACACTTTTGGCCTGCCGACCGCGGCATGCAGTGTGTGCGTGGCGGGTCGGGAGTTCTCTTCGTCAACCCGACAGCCCCAGCCTGTTGGGTGGGGCGTGATCTCAATCGTCGATTCTCGTCCCTCCGCCTCCTCCTCGAAGGCGGAGGAGGAGGAGGAGGAGGGTCCTGGCGATCTCTTCCCTGCAGCCGCGGATCATGGAGATCGTCGGCGCCGCCCACGAGGAGCTCGGCAACAACGTCTCCGAGGTGCCCATCCGCGTCAAGGCCTGGGCATCAAGGGAGCTCCCCTGGGTAGCTCTGCAGGTCTCTGGGGTGATTGTCCTCTTCGGTCCCTGAGGTCCGGGCGGTGTATTTTTGACCCAAGGAGCTTTTTCACCCGTTTTCGGGCCCCCGCACCATCACAGATCGATCCGGCTCGAAACATGAAGCAGGGAGATAGGGTCTACAGTCGGGGCCCTGAAGAAGGAACCCTTTTGGTTGGGGAGGGGCTCCGCGTTCCTTAAGTGTTTCACAGCTTGCCTCAGGTTGTCCTTGTGTCTTCGACAGGAGATCGAAGGCTCACTCATGGAAAAGATGGGCCTCGTTCCTTATTTAGGGTTCCTGAGGTCAACGCCCCGACTGTAGGGTCTAGGATTCTGGCTGCGAGTTATCGCGATGTGCCAATCGCTCTCAGCGCCAGATCTCAGGGGGTCCTGCTGCTCGCTTGCTTTCTGCCTTGTCTCCGGATCTCCTTGGCCTCTGGAGGCCCCGCGTCGGCCCCCTGCAGGCCCGGCCGAGGAGGGAGGAGGAGGGAGGAGGAGGGAGGAGGAGGGAGGAGGAGGGAGGAGGAGGGAGGAGGAGGGAGGAGGAGGGAGGAGGAGGAGGAGGAGGAGGAGGAGGAGGAGGAGGAGGAGGAGGAGAGGAGAGGGGTCGAGAGGTGCGCCGAGGGGGTCAAAAGGGGGGGGGAGGGGGCAGGCCTGCTCCGAAGGTGGCGGGGCTTCGGGGGAGGCCGAGAGAGTCGAGGAACCGCAGGCATGGATGAAGGCTCCCGCTTGCACGCAGAGCCGGCGCGAGCCGTGGCCAACTCGGGCGGCATTTGGCTCCACCGCCCACGCGCAGGACCCACGGGTATCCCCGATCCCTGTCAGCGTGCGCCCGATAAGGTATCCTCCTCCTCCTCCTCCTCCTCCTCCTCCTCCTCCTCCTCCTCCTCCTCTCTTCCTCCTCCTCCTCCTCCTCCTCTCCTCCTCCTCCTTCCTCCTCCTCCTCCTCCTCTCCTCCTCCTCCTCATCCTCCTCCTCCTCCTCCTCCTCCTCCTCCTCCTCCTCCTCCTCCCCTCCTCCTCCCCTCTCTTCCTTCTCCTCCTCCTCCTCCTCCTCCTCCTCCTCCTCCTCCTCCTCCTCCCTGATCCCGCGTGCGCTCGGGAGGCGGCCTGAGGCCTCCGGAGCCTTCTGAGAAGGCCCGCCCCCTTCTGCCTCCCCCCCCTGGCCGCGCCGCCCAGCAAAGCTGCAAGGGCCCCGGGAGCTCTGGTCTTGCATCAGGAGGGGAACAAAAACACACAGACACAATTCATCGTCGACTCCCCAGAAACTACAGGAAAATATGGAAAGTGGGGGGGGAGACAAAAACCCAGAAAATAGAAGGAAATATGGGGAATCGGGTTATGTGTGTCTATTTATGTATGTGTGTGTTTCTGTGTGTCCCAGTTCCTCTTCATTGTAAACCGACTCCCCATCCCCGCCTGTGGCGCCGACGACCCAGGCATCCTGGTGAGGTGATTTTTGCTGTCCCGTCTTCGGACCCCGGGGCTCCTTCCCTCCATGCTGCTCGGGGGCTCTGGCGCGGAGATGGGGGCGTCGAGCTTGGGTTGTGATCTCTCGTGGCGCAATGCTCTTTCCATGGCCGCAGACCTCAGGGGGACCCTTTTCTACGGGACACTCATAGTACACACAAACACTCGCTCCCTGGATCATGTAAGAAAGTAAGGAGCCAGGCGCCTCGACGGCGCATCGGCAGAACAGATGCAGTGCAGATGTGCAGTGGCAGGGTGGTGAAAACATCGATCGGCTGCGACTCTCTGCCAGCTGCTGCTTTGAAGCTGCGGGAGATCAGGCACAAACAGATGACACATCCGTGGCGGATGTTGGGATGCGTTACTGGCCGCTGAGTTTTCCCATGCGGCGTGGCCACATACGACGACGACGACGAAAGGGGGGGGAGAGGACGGAGCGAGAGAAAGCGAGGAAGACGACACGGGAGGTTGGAAGAGCGGCAATGGAGGGGAGAGGGGGAGGGGCCATCGAAGAGCTGCTGGCAATGCTTCTTTGAGACTGCGGGAGGTCTCGCGGAAAACAATGGTGCATGCACGCATGCATGCATCAGGCCCCCATGCATGCATGGGGACCTGATGATTCGCCAGCGCAGCAGCACAGCAGGGTGGAGGCTGGGTTGAAGACCCGCTCCGGTTCAGGGCCTTGTCTGAAATGGCGCAGGCCTTGAACGTAGCCAACCCATGCGAATCGATTGCCAATACCACTGGGCATGTCCCAAGCGGACGAGGATACGACAAACAACGCAGTCCTTTGTGCAAGCTGCACCGGGGGCATGCGCGTTGCATGCCTCACGGGGCAGATTTAAGGCAGCACCTCAGGATATGACGTGAAGGGGAGAAGACGGAAAGACAACGAGGACTAAGAGAAGGAATGAGGCCAAGAGAGTAATACCTATACCGAAGCAGGGAAAAGAGAAACGATTACCTTCTAGGGGCGTTCGAAGGTAGCGATAACTGCCCCCAGGGAGGCGAGGTGTGAGGTAGGAAGCGGGTAGGATGCAGGAGGCAGGACAGGAGAGGCGGGAGTCAGGAGGGGAAAAAATCACAGACACAATGAATCGTCGATCCCCAGGAAAATATAAGAAAATATGGGAAGTGGGGGGGAAGACAAAAGCCCAGAACATACTGGACACATATAGGGAATCCTGTTATGTGTGTGTGCATTTATTAGTGTGTCCCAGGGCCCCTTCAGGCAGGAAGGATTGAGGAGGCGGCAGCTGTGCTCTGTTCAAGACGAGCAGGAGGGTACCCATCGGCAAGTAGCTGAGAGCATGTACTCTTGAGTTCCCAGATGCCAATTGCTTTGGCCGCATTCCTATTTCAGGTGCCGAGCGGTATTTCCTCCTCTCTCTTCTCCTCCTGGAAGGCGGGGCAGAAACCCAGCCTACTTTCAACGCCTTCCTACTTCACGCTTCCGTCCGCTTCTTCCGACCGCTGGGTTGGCCTAAGCCAGCGCAGACGCCCCCCCCTTCGATCATCGAGAGCCAAAGGGCAACACCTAGCACACTAGCACACCCTGCTGCTGCCCCTCCCCCCCCCGCCCGAGGTCGAGGGCGAGGACTGCACGGACCTCGGCCTCGTGGATCTGCCCGGCTTCCGGTCCTACGCGAAGGACGCCGCGATGCAGGAGCCCAGACGTTCCCCTCTCGCTCGCGAAGCTGCTCGGGGGGGGAGGAGGAAGGATCCGATGAGGAAGCGGTACCGATACCGCTACCGTTGCCCCGTTTTTGGATTTGGGGCCGAGGAGGAGGAGGAGGAGGAGGAGGAGGAGGAGGAGGAGGAGGAGGAGGAGGGAGGATCAGATGAGGAAGCGGTACCGATACCGCTACCATTGCCTCGTTTTCGGGTTTAGGGCCGAAGTTGTTTTGTTGTTGCTGGAACCAACCTGGCACACACCTTGCCTCAGCCAGCCGTCAGAGAAAAGGATGGGCGGGCGGGCACACTGAGGAGGTGCCGCAACGCCCGCCCCCCATTCAGTCCAGCGCTCTCTCCCAGAAGGTATCCCGCCCACACTGCAAGAGTGAGCGGCACGCCTCACCTAGGGAGAGCTTCACCTTAGAAGGGTGCGTGCCTCGGCGCAGGAGCGAGCGGCGATCCTCCGCGGTCGGGTTTGAAGGCACACCCTCACACGGCAGGACAAGCCTGCATCCCCGCTCGCTCGAGAACACACCGCACCGATCGCAACACGTGTACTGGCCAGAGCGATGCAGCTCGTTGCCGAACGCCTCACCGCGCAAGGCCGACGGGATCGGGTGCTCCCCCTCCGCCCGCTCCACGAGGAAACGGCTGTCCACCCGACTCTTCCCCCTACATGGCCTGCGCCTCGGAGCCCTCTTGGATCTTGGGGGACAGGGCACCTCTACGGCACACAGCACACCTCCGGGCACCCCGAGGAGACCAGACGAGAGCATGGGGGCTGCCGGGTGGGCCCTGGCGGTGCTGCCGGGGCCCGACGGGGCCTGCAGCGGGCCTCCCCGTGGCATCCCGCAGAACGTCCCCCCACGCCCGAACCGCCGCCCCCCGCCGCGGTGGCCCGGAGCACGGCCTGCACCTCCCCCGATATCGCGGGAGGTGCGCCTGCCGCCTCGCCACTGGGGCAGCGCCTGCAGAGCAGCCCCCCTCCTTTGGCCCCGGCCGCCAGGCAGCTTACACCGGGCTCCGCCCGGAGATCGAGCAGCGCGCTCCCGAGAGCCATCCCGAGGCCCTCGGGATGGGGGCCCGAGCCTCCGCCTGAAGAAGCTCGCCGTCCCCAGGGGCAAGCGTCCGGGAGCAGGAGCTGGGCGCGGGCCCAGAGATCGGCGTGGGGCCTCTCGGGTGAGCAGCACCACCTGCGATCCCTCTCTTAAGCCACGGGTGACAGTGATACTGTCGATGCCGACGCGGAGGGGCGGGGTGGCACATTCCAGGGCCTTCATCAGCCCATATATCTCATCACGGAGCACTGACGCCTGGCACCTGAGCCCTGGGAGGGAGCCGTGCACGGCCCGAACCACGGCCCCCCCCTCCTGGTCCAGAAAAACCTAGGCTCAGCCAGAACTCTTGAGCCCAGGGGGGAGGGCTTACCCGCGCCCGAGCAGCCATCGGAGCAGGCCCAACCTCCAGCGAGTGGCGGATTGTCAAAACTGGGGTTGAGCTGCTCCTAGCCAGGCGTGCGATCTAGGAAGGGATCCTCAAACGGATGCTCGACCAGACTACAAGAGAAGAGGAGGGACTCGGAGGAGGAAGTCCCGGCTCGATGCACGATCCTTTGGAGATTATCCGCCTCGGCTGTCGCAGCTCGAGCGGCTTCCTGATTCGGGCAGCGGCGCATTCGGTGGTGTTGGCATCCTACCTCGTCGCCACAAGCTTGATAGGACCTGTCGTCCCCCAAACCAGCCCGTCAGACGTTGTCCTGGGTCCGGAAATCGCGCCCAAGGTACGCCAGGATAGCCGATCTCCTCTGCGGGGACCGGTTCGCCTTGCGACTCAGCAGCGCCCCGACGGGCTCCAGGAAAGGCCGAGAGGCCCCGAGGCCCCCGAAGCCGGCCCAGGCCGAGAGCTCCACAGAAACTCCGGGCGGGCGAACGCAGCTTGTTGATGCAGGCAGCGGCCGCTCGGCGCAGGCCCCAAAGCTCCCCCCAGGTGGTCCTGGAACTTGGTATCGCTCGGACGTGTGCACTTTTTCTCGGCGGGGATCATTGAGGAGCATCCGGGATCATCATGCGAAAAAGCCACGCCCGAAACCAGAAAAACAAAAATCGGGGAATGGACGTCCGAGCGATGGCCAGGGAAAGCGGAGCGGGAGGGCCGGCCCCACGACCGACGGCGGAGGGCAGCGAGCACCGCCGAGGCGGGACCTTCTCATACCACGCCGGAGACCGCGACCTGGCTTCGCCGGGGCCGGACACCACGGGACACAACGGGACACTTGTCGACCTCTCTATCGATCTCATTATCGATCTCACTCAACGGGACACCACGGGACACCACGGGCCTCCACGGGACACCACGGGACACCTCTCGATCTCACGATCGGTAGCACTATCGATCTCACTATCGATCTCACTCAACAGGACACCATAGGACACCACGGGACACCTCGGGACACCAATGGACACCTCAGGACACCACATCAACCTCACTATTAATCTCACTATCGATCTCACTCAACGGGACACCATAGGACACCACGGGACACCACGGGACACCTGTCGATCTCACTGTCGATCTCACTACCGACTTCACTTTTTGGGACACCACGGGACACATCGGGGCACCACATCGATCTCAGTATCGATCTCACTATCGATCTCACTATCGATCTCACTCAACGGGACACCACGGGACACCACGGGATACCTGTCGATCTCACTGTCGATCTCACTATCTATCTCACTCTTTGGGACACCACGGGACACCTCTGGGCACCACATCGATCTCAGCATCGATCTCACTATCGAGCTCACTATCGACCTTACTATCGATGCACTATCGATCTCACTCAACGGGACACCATAGGACACCACGGGACACCTCGAGACACCGCTAGGGCCACCGCCGGACGGACGGACGGACGAACGGAGGAGAAACATTTGTCTTGACTTTGCCCTAGCAACGGCGAGCACCACGGGACACCTCGGGACACCACGGGACACCAGTCGATCTCACTATCGATCTCACTCAACGGGACACCTCGGGACACCGCGGGACACCTCTCCATCTCACTATCGGTCTCACTATCGATCTCACTATCGATCTCACTCAACGGGACACCACAGGACACCACGGGACACCTCGGGACACCACATCGATCTCACTATCGATCTCTCTATCGATCTCACTATCGATCTCACTCAACGGGACACCATAGGACACCACGGGACACCACGAGACACCTGTCGATCTCACTATCGATCTCACTACCGACTTCACTTTTTGGGACACCACGGGACACCTCGGGGCACCACATTGATCTCAGTATCGATCTCGATATCGGTCTCACTATCGATCTCACTCAACGGGACACCATAGGACACCACGGGACACCTGTCGATCTCACTGTCGATCTCGCTATCGATCTCAAATTTGGGACACCACGGGACACCCCGGGGCACCAAATCGATCTCACTATCGATCTCACTATCGAGCTCACTATCGACCTCACTATCGATCTCACTATCGATCTCACTATCGATCGCACTCAACGGGACACCACGGGACAACACGGGATACTGCTAGGGCCACCGCCGGACGGACGGACGGACGGACGGATGGACGGAGGAGAAACATTTGTATTGATTTCGCCCTAGCAACGGCGGACACCACGGGACCCCGTGGGACACCGCTAGGGCCACCGCCAGACGGACGGACGGACGGAGGAGAAACATTTGTCTTGACTTCGCCCTAGCAACGGTGGGTTCACTCCTCTCGCGCGCACACGCAGCTTCGCCTCGCCCGCACGCACGACACGAACGAAACGAAACGATTTCCCGGTCTGGGGTCTCCGTTCCATTACGATCTCACCCCCCAACCTCCGATAGAATGTCATAATGTGTTGGATTTGCCGATGTTGCCGTGGGGCCCTGCGGTAGGGACCGGACCACACCATCTTTGCAACCGCGACCCAGTACGTGTGGGGGCAAATTCGTTTCGGTCGTCACAGATTGCTTTTCCTTCGTCTCCCCCCTCCCTCTTCCCAGGCAGTTCTTGGCTACCACGCTGCCCACCCCTAGGGGTGTTCTCTTGACGGTGTCACGCGTTGTGCTCGAAGGCTCCAGGTTAGCTTTGACGGACATCTAGAGTGTTCGTTCATCGACGGCCACTCTCTTCGCCATCGCTGGTCCCGAAAACACCAAGTAAGCGAATGTGACACATATAACTCTACATCGTGTGCGTTCTGGACACAAGAGCGTGTTTCTTTATTGTTTGGGGCATAGCGGGCGTTATGGCCCCCATCCCCCCTCCCCCCCAAAACGTAACGCCCCTCCCCCCCTCCCCCCCAGTGCGCCCCAGGCATTGCCGCCGTGCGCATCGGGATCCGCAGGCGTCCGCATAGGAATCCGCACAGGGGTCTGGTCCGCAATCGTCGTCGTCGTCGTTGTCGTTGTCGCTTGTCGCTCTTCGCTCGTCGCTCATCGTCGTCGTGCGCGCGGACGCGGGTGAAACATTTTTTTTTATTCCAGATGACGTCACGTTTCGCGCCAGCGGCGCATGGGAATGTTTAAGAATGACCGAGGACGGGTAGCAGCAGCATGTAGGTGGCGATCTGCACCACATCGCTTGTGTAAACCACAGTGCCTGCGTACACCACAGCGCCTGTGTACACCACAGCGCCTATGTACACCACAACAGCCGCGCGCAACACTGCGCCAGTGTGTGCCGCGATGCCTGCGGGCACCACGGTGCTTGCGTACACCACAGCGCCTGCGTACACCACATCATCCGTGTGCAACACGGTAGCAGTGTACACCACAGTGCACGCGTGCACTACAGCGTCTGTGTACACCACGGCGCCTGTGCGCACCACAGCAATCGTGCGCAACATACTACCATTGTTGCATATCGAATTTTAGAAAGAATCTGTATGACAAAATTGAGCGCCTGTTGATTCCACCGAACATTGTTTTATATTGGGTTTGGAAAGGGGCCCTTATGGAAAGAGGGGCGCCGCTGGAATTCCCGAATCCTCCCGCATCATCCTAACTCCTCCCATTTGCGTCCAGGATGCTCCAGTTGAGTTGGGAGTCCGAGAACCAAGCGGACCGATTCAATCGACCATTCTGCGGTGCACGCTGAGATGCGCGCGTGCGCTGTAGCGCCGACCCGCGCGACAGGGGGGAAGGGTGAGGAAGGAGGAGGACGGGGAGGGCCAGAGCCACACATCGGGGAGGGGTCGGGCGTTACGTTATACCCCCCCGGCAAATAACCCCCATTGCGCTCGTTATTGCCGAAAATAAGGAAACGCGTTCCAACAAACTGTCTTATATGGACTACGTGCTTCACGCGTGTTCTTGACGTTGAGCATTGAGAATCGACGTTTTTACGTTAGCGAGCACCGCACGCCAGTGGGTTCACGTTGGGTCACTGATTGCACCGCCATCTTCAATGCGTTCGGAAGTGTAACCGCCCGGGTAGACTTCCGAGGTCCAGAACTATTCATCCACTCTGTTCACCCTCCTCCCCAGACCTCCGGTGCCTCGACCTCGTCGTTTCGCCACCCTCCAGACACCCTCCAGAGGTCCCGGCTACTTCAATGGGACTGGGGCCTTTTGTTCACCCTGAGTGGGATCCCGAACACGGGTCCTTGAGGCCGAACCGGAGGAAAACCATTGGGATTCCCAAGCTGGGATTGCAAAACACCATCAGTTGGAGGTCTGGATTAGTTCCCGCCTTCCTCCTCCCCAGCCCCTGCTCCATCCCCAGCATCGCCTCCTGCCCTCCCTTGCCTCGAGGCGCTCAGCCTGAAGATCGACCAGCTCGTGCTGAAGTTCATGCAGGACGAGAACAACGTCATGCTGTGCGTCGAGGAGGCAAGTGGGCGACGCTGCCGCGGCCGCCGTCGGCGGCGCCGGCACCGTCGTCGTCGCCGTCGTCGTTGGCTTCGTCGTCGGCGTCGCTGCCGCCGTCGTCGTGGCGTCGTCGTCGATCGTTGATCGTCGATCGTCGATGTCCATCGTCGTCGTCGTCGTCGTCGTCGTCGTCGTCGGCGCCGTCGTCGTTGGCGTCGCCGTCATCGTCGTCGTCGTCGTCGTCGATCGTCGATCGTCGATTGTCGTCGTCGCCGTCGTCGCCGTCGTCGTTGGATTCGTCGTCGGCGTCGCTGCCGCCGTCGTCGTGCCGTCGTCGTCGATCAACGATCCTCAATATTTGATCGTCGATCGTCGATCGTCGATCGTCGATGCCGTCGTCGTCGTCGTCGTCGTCGTCGTCGTGATCGCCGTCGGCGTGATCGTCGTCGTGATCGTCGTCGTCCATCGTGGCCGTCGCCCCCGTCGTCGAGGCGGGCGACGCCGCGGGCTTCGCCACGCTGGGCAAGTGCAAGCAGGTCGACCCCTCCTACCGCAGGACCCCGGGCCGCCGACCTGGCCGGTCCGACGGTCGTTGTCGCTGTCGTCGCCGCCCCAGTCGACGCCGCCGCCGTCGTTGTTGGCGCCTTCGTCGGCGGTGTTGCCGCAGCCATCGTGTTTGGCGTCGTCCTCGGCGTCGGCGTCGCCGCCGCCGTCTTGGTCGGCGTCTTCATTGTGGATCAGCGTCGTCGTCGTAGTCGATCGTCGTCCTCGATCATTTGTGGTCGTCGTCGTCGTCGTCGGCGTGATCGTCATCGTCGTCGTTTGCGCCGTCGATCGTCGTCGACGCTCCGCGGACCGCCTGGGCCGCCCTGCCGACGAGCTCTCGACTCTCCAGGCGCCGCGAGCAAGAATTGCGACGCGTGTCTTCCTCGTGGTCTTCGGCGCCTGGGGGCCACATCCGGGCCCCGATGCCCGCAGAGGAGACGTCTCGGCGCGAAAGGGCCAGCGGTCCCGGGGACGTGTTCGAGAGCTCCGGGGGGGGCGGTCCTTCGTAAAACATTGTGGCGTCGCAGGTGGGCGGGCAGGGTGCATGGTGTTGCGCGCTCTGAGATGGATCGGACTAGGCGGACCAGGTCGGGATGTCAGGGTGCACAGCGGGGTCCTGCGTTTTCGTGTTTTGTGTTGCCCAGCCTTCTCCCGAGGGTCTGGAAAGGGGGCTGGTCTCTTTCCAACTCTGGTTCAACCTCCAGTCCTCTCGCGCTTCTCTACATCATCCTTTTCATTTCTTGTCATTCCGTGTGGAAACCAACCTCAGCCTGGCGCGACCCACATTAGGGAATCGACTCCTAAGTTGCATTGCTTGGCATTGCATGGCTTCGCGTTGCTTGTCATTGCACGGCATTGCTTACTTTGAATTGCTGTGCTTGGCATGTATTGGCGCTTGGCGTGGCTTGGCATTGCTTGGCACTTCTTTGCATCGGTTTGCGTTGCTTGGCGTTACTTTGCATTGTTTTGCTTGGTATCGCTCTGCCTTGTACTGCATCGTTTTGCATGGCATTGCTCGGCAGCCTGACGGCCGAGCAACTGGGCAACCAGACCAACAGGCAACCGGGCAACAGGGCAGCCCGAGGAAGGCTGAGCAACCCCGCGGAAGGCTAGACGGCCAGGCAACCCGAGGAATGCCAGGCTATCGAGCAACCACGAGGAATGCCTGGCGGCGCAGGCTGAGGCTTGAGGAGGAGGGAGGAGGAGGAGGAGGAGGAGGAGGAGGAGGAGGAGGAGGAGATGCAGGAGGAGATGGAGGAGGAGGAGGAGGAGAGGAGGAGGAGAAGGAGGATAATGGAGGATGATGGCCGAGGAGGCGCATGCTGGTTGAGTCCTCCTGCTCCTCCCTCCTCATAAATCCTCCGCGCATCAGCCCTCCTCATCGAGCCTCCTCAGCCGTCCTCCTCAATCATCCTTATCATCCATCCTGATCAACTCTCGCCATCGTCGACCTGCCTCCTCCACCCTCCCCCTCAACCCTCCGATCAAAACCTCATCCATAGCCTTCATCCTCAACCGTCCCCATCCTCCTCCCTTATCCTCCTGCCTCCACCTTCTCCTCCTTATCATCATCATCATCATCATCATCGTCATCATCATCATCATCATCATCATAATCATCAGCATCATTATCAACATCATCAGCATCATCATTAGCATCATCATCATAATCATAATCATCCGTATGATCACCATCATCATAATAAAGCTTACCACCATCATCTTCATCATCAGCATCATCGTCATCATCGTCATAACCTCCACCATCAGCATCTTCATCATCAGGATACTGAGCATCATCATCAGCATCGCCATCGTCAGCTCCATCTTCATCTTCATCTTCATCATCATCAGCGCCATCAGCATCACAATATTCATCATCGTCGCCATCATCTCCATATTTCATCATCAGCATCATCATGATCAGGACAATCATCAATACAGCCAGTATCATCACCATCATCATCACCATCCTCATCAACAGCATCATCATCATCATCACCACCATCACCATCGTCATCACCATCATTACCATCATCAGCAGTAGCATCATCATTCGTATCCCGATAGAACAATGACATTGCATCACACGCGGAATTGTGAAGCCACAAAAACGCTGGATCCCGCTACGCCCGTTGAACCTGGATCAGGACCCAGACATCCAGGGGACCGATGCTGTTCAACCCGTGGGCTCAAGAGTGCTCCGGAGGATGTTTTCTATACGTTGGTTGTCTATGTGTCTGGAGGCCCCTGCGGAGGGCTCCCGGCGGCGTCTGGAGGACCAACAGTGGACAGCAACGCAAGCCAACTTCGGTCCTCGGTCCTCCTCCGCTTCATCCTTGTCCTCCTTGGTGTTGGCCTCGGGGTGGGGTGGCCTCCCGCTGGGTCGGAAGGACCATCCTGGTGCGAAACAAGCTGGACAAGTACTATGGTGATCTGACGACCGAGAACATCAACAAGTCGCCAGCTCGGGGCGTCCTCCTCCTCATCCTCCTCCCCCTCCTGGAGGTGAGGATCTATATGCGTTCCTTCCGTTGGGGACATCCTGCAGCGTTGGCGTCGCCACGATTGCGTTCGCTTCTGGGTTCCGGCCAAAAAGCGTACTTGTTGAGGGAAACCTTGAACGTGATCACGAGATCCTCCTCTTCATCCCCTGTCCTTAGGGACAGCGCCCAGGCCCTTCTTGCGATGGCCTGTACACCCTGCGTGTGGGGAAGCGCTCGCAACAGGGGCGGAGCTGACCGATATAGGCTCACATAGAGGCTCCCTCCTCCATCCTTCTCCTTCCCTCCCTTTTCTATTTCCTTCATGTTCCTTTATCATCCGTCCACCCTTCCTCCCGTCTCCCTCCCTCCTCATTTTTATCCTCTTCCCCTTCCCCCCCTATCTGTTTCTCCCTCCGTCCTCCTCCCTCCTCATTCACTTATTCTGCCTACCCTCCTCGGGGCACTGGTCTTTCGTGTGTGTGTGTATATATACACGCTGGCATCAAGCAAATCAGTCCGCAACCAGGGGTCAGTAGCAACAGGGAAAGGAAGAGGGAGGATAAGCAAGAATATGTGCAGCATCAAGAAGAGAACGAAGAACACGAGGATGAGGACGAGGAGAGCGAGTCCCCCTCACCCCCCTTACCCAACAACTCCAGCTCACAACCCAGACCCCTGATAAAGCTCAATCCTCGGATCGCGTCCAGCTGTGGCGACGAGGGGGCCCTTGAGGGCCGAGAAGTGCAGGAGGAGGAGGACAGGGAGCAGGAGCAGGAGGAGGAGGAGGACGAGGACAGGGAGAAGGAAGAGGAGGAGGAGGAGGCGGAGGAGGACGAGGACGAGGACAGGGAGGAGGAGGAGGAGGAGGAGGAGGAGGGGGAGGAGGAGGAGGGGGAGGAGAAGAGGAGGAGGAGGACAGGGAGGATAAGGAGGAGGAGGAGGAGGAGGAAGAGGAGGAGGAGGAGGAGGAGGAGGAGAACGGACAGGAGGAGGAGGCGGAGGAACAGGTGCATGGCAGCAACAGCATGCTAGACCCTGCTGGTGGTCGATGTCACGTAGGTCCAGTGACAAGCTTGTTCGGATTCAGTCGGCCTTCGCTGAGTAGGGCAAGGTCAAAGGTTTGCCAGTGCCCTTCTGCTGCTCGGCTTGGAAAAGGTGTTCGAGCACATACAGCATAGTGAGCTGTTTCTTGCTGCGCATAGGTCTGAGTTTCCGTTACGCCAGTTGAAGCTTCTCGTCGAGTTCAATCGTTGTCCCAGGGGTCTTGTCGCTAAATGTTGTTGCCTCGTGCCCGCTCCACGCGGTCCTGCCAGGGTGCTGTGCCGCCATTTTGGTGTTGCACGACAGGCGCGAGTCTTCGTTTAGCACGCATGATGCTGGCGCATTTGCAGACGCAGAAGCTGGCAGACAAGAGCATCACTCTGCGTCTCATTCTCGCGGACCCCCCTCGTGCTGATCACGCCTACTTCCTCAACCTTGACCCTCTTGTCGCGTTCGCCACTGCCGTGTCGGAAGCATTGCTGCCGCACAGGGTTCTGGAGCAATGGTTGCGGGATGCGTTTGGGCGTTGCCAGGGGCACGGCGATCCTTGGGCCAGCCCGTGAACCTTTCCTTGTTTGCGCAGCCACCGCCTTCATGACCGGTCTTGAGTTTAATGATTTTTCTTGGAGTCGTCCTAAGCTGGACAGACTTGGTCTCAACGTTTCGAACATAGGCCCCAGAATGGTATCAATGCGGCTGCCCAGGATCATTAAGCAGTGGCTTTGGTCCAGAGCCGTTGGGCGTGAAGGTGTGCCTCAGCTGCGACAGGGGTGCAACCTGGACCCTTTGCGGAGCCTGCTCAGATCTAAGGAGACCCTTGTCACCGAGAACGGGTGTTTGAAGTCTGCTTTTTGCGGGGGGGCATTGGCCACAGCACAGACAGTGGGCCGCCAAGCTCACCCCAGATGCCTTGTGTCAGCGGTGACTCCAGTCCCCAGGCACTTTTTTGCACAGGCACGCCAGCTGTGGATTATACGAGGAGCTCTTGCCCGAGGAGGTGCTTCCTGGCTGTCTTGAATCCCTCGCGAGGTCCTGCTCCAGTCCTCTCCCTCTCCCCTTTGCCGAAAAGCTGCTGTTGCCTGATGCTGCGTTGCTTGCATGCACCCATCTTCCCGAGCGCTGGTTTGGAGGAGGCCCCATCGCTGTGGCGGGACATGCATTTCTAGACGGGATCTGGATGGACCAACACCACCCCCAGCATGCGCAAGCAGTTGCATAGGCCACAGTTGCAGTGCAGCCCGGATACGCTTGTCATGCGCAGTCGGTCATGTGTGGCACGCTCTCACATGTTTGCTGGGGCATAGATGATGCAAACTTGTTCTCCTTGTTTTTTCTTCGGACGGTGAAAGAAGTGGTCCGCAACAGGGGGTCTGAAATGGGGGCTGAATAGCCCATGTATGCTCAGCAAATCGTTCATGGATATGATCGGGTATGATTGGCATCCAATGTTGGCGGTCATAAGGGCCAGTCGTTCGTGCCCGCGCGTTGTGGAGGGCATCGGCAGGGTGGGTCCCGCAATGTGCATGTTGTAGTGTTTTTTGACAGGGATGGTGGGGGGGGGGTGCCCGCATGGTTCTGGGTTGGCTGCCGGTCAGGTGGGGGAGGGGGTGTTCTTTTATCAGGGAACAGTGAAAAACCCCTCCCCGAGGGGGAAGAGGGGCAGATGAAAGACAAAAACACCCTAGACCACCTACGCCCCAAAGGGCTGGTGGGATTTCAATGAGCACTCAAGAACAGGGTTCGTTTACGCGGGCAGTCTATCGGCCACGAGGCCGGACGCGATAGCCTGCACCCCATGGTGTGGAATTGTGTGGCGGCACCCCCATTCTACACGCAAATGCTTAGGAGTGGTGCACCATTCCGCCTCCGAGGCGACTTGCGGGGAAGCCCAAAAGCGTCTGATGTGGCAATTGTGTGGACAGATATCGAATGATGAAGTAACCCTGATCGAGGGGACCAGAAACATCACAACTAAACCACACATAACAAGTACTGTGCGGCGCTCGTAGCGGGATGAGCTGGAAGGCACAGGAACACCAGGGTAGCAGAGGAGGACGAGGCAGCAAACGGTGGAGGAAAGACGAAAGGAGGACAAATAATGGTGCTGCGACGACTCAGGATGTGGACCTGACGTGCCCGCTCCAAAAGACCATGAATAGCCTGGCAGACGCAAACCAAACCCCGCCAGAACATCCGCCAGCTGGGCAGCTAACCGGCGCACCCTTGAGGCTCCCGAGGAGTTGGGGCTGACGTGCCCTCTCAGACAGGCCGACCCAGGGGCCGTGCGAACCTGGCGACCCCCATGCTCTGCCATGGGGACGTGGTGGGAGCACGAAGAGCGGATGAAAGCAAAGCCACGACGCAAGTGCAAAGGCCCATCTCCTCTTCCTCCTCCTCCTCCTTCTCCTCCTCCTCCTCTTCCTCCTCGTGAGCATCGGATCGGAACAGACCCCAAGATGGATCAAGCCCAGGCCCAAAAGGCCGACGACGCTCCGGAGCCTTCGCCGACTGACTGTGCGCCCTTTGCCGGCCTCGCTGCCAGGACAAGAGGAGGTCTCGGCCCACAGTCCTGTGGGCGTGGCCAGCATTCGGGGGACAAATCCTGCCCCCCTGGCAAGCACCCTCGGCGGGGAGGCCATCTGCCCCAGACTCGGAGGATCCCAAATCACACAATTGCGTACAATCAAAGGGTCCACAGTCATGGACTCTGGAAGGGAACGCGCGGGACCATGGGGGGAAGCGGGATGGAGAGAGCGAGAGAGCGAGGAAGAGGGCAGCAAGTGGAGAAAGCAAAGGCAATGGCGGCAAAAAGACGAAACGGCAGAACCATGGATATTACAAGCGTAAAATTTGTTCAAAAGCGATCGGCCTTCAGTATCGCCGTGATGACGAAGGTGCACGGCAAATGTCTGCAGTCATATACCCTAGAGGGGAACTCTTGAAGGACCGCGGGGGCGAAACGAGAGGGAGAGAGCGATACGTATATATATATACACATATATGTATTTATAGAAAAGAGAGAGAAAGAGAGAGAGAGAGAGAGAGAGCTAGAGCTAGAGAGGGATAGAGAGAGAGAGAAACAACAACCAAAGCAATACACACAAACTAATACTAATAGTAATAATAATGATAATAATACTAATTATACTAATGATAATGATATTATTATTATTAGTATTAATAGTAATAATGATAATAATAATATGAAGAAGAAAGAGAATAATAATAATAATACTAATAATAATAATACTAATAATAAAAATAAGAAGAAGAAGAGGAAGAAGCCGCGGAGGAGCGCGACGCGGGGAGAAGAAAGAGCGACAAGACAAGGGAGACGGGAGGCCCACGGAGAAGCGAGGGCACCGGGTCCAAAGATGCGTAGGATGGGGACCGAAAGTTACAATGTCTCGCCCCAGTGAAGTGGAGGAATAGCGGTCGGTGCCGCCGGATATGAGTAGGTAAGCCTCCCGAGGCTTGGCCTGTCCAGCAGTTGGTGGGGGTAGCTGGATGAGCTGGAACAGAGCAATACACCCGGGATAACAAGATGGCCGAGGAAGACGGATCAGCAACGATGGAGGCAGGATGCAAGAAGAGTTGCTGGTGTCGCCCCAGCTCACTAACCGTAGGGGTGAGCGCGAGGTTGCTCATCGAGGGTGCAGATGCGCATTATCTTACCAGCGGCCCCATGCGTCACTCACAAGAGTCAAACCCCACAGGCTGCGGGAAGCCTTTGGCACAAGGCGGAGGAGGAGGAGGAGGAGGAGGAGGAAGCGGAAGCGGAAGTGGAGGAGAAGGAGGAAGGAGGAGGAAGAAGGAGGAGGAGGAGGAGCAGGAAGGAGGAGGAGAAGGAGGAATGAGAAGGAGAAGGAGGAGGAGGAGGAGAAGGAGGAGGAGGAGGAGGAGGAGGGAAGGAGGAGGAAGAAGGAGGAGGAGGAGGAGCAGGAAGGAGGAGGAGGAGAAGGAGGAATGAGAAGGAGAAGGAGGAGGAGGAGGAGGAGGAGGAGGAGGAGGGAGGAAGAGGAGGGAGGAGGAGGAGGACGATCCCCCCCATCTCGTAATTGCTGCTTCCGCCCTGGGCCTGGCTCCTGGAGGCCCCGCGGGCGGCTTCCCTGGAGGCGCTGGGAGGGCCGGAGACGTTTGGACGACCTTGGCCTTGGATCCCTCGGGGGCCAAGGGCAAGACTCCCAGGTCTCCGAGGGGATATGCCTTGTTCAATCCGAGCGTCTCTCTCTGACTTCGGCCTCTGGGGCCCGTCTGCGGGACCTGGGGCCCTCTGCCGTGGACCTGGGGCGGAGAAGTGGCCCCGGGAAGGGGGTCGGGATCTCTGGGGCC